CTCCTCCTTACCAATATGGATGCCAAGCTGTTCCTCAGAGCTAGACAGAAAATCTTTGAAGAGATTCTTGTGTTGGGGAGGCTCTCATAGGCCTAGAAACCTTTTGGTTATGGACTCCTTTTCAGGATCTGATCATATTGACTAATCTCCCCAGGAAAACAAACATATATACATTAAAAAAAAATCAGAACAGTCATAAACTTCCCTGAAGTCTGGTCAGAAACCATTCATCTAAAAGATTAAGACATAATCATTTCCAGCAGTGATACAACAAAACAAAACCCTCAAACTAAAACTTAGCTTTCAGAAGTATCTGGGCAACACAGGAGCTGCTGGCCTGGGGCTATTCTTTCCATCTTAGGAAAAAGGATAAGTGTATTCAGGGTGTGACAGCCTATAAATCTTAATATGTATGTACAATCTGGAATCTAGTTTATAGAACAAGACAAAGGATGAAGCAATTCTCCCCAATAACAGGGGGGAAAAAAACCCAGCAAAGGCTAATCTTAAATTCTAGGCTCATCCCCTAAGGTAACCAGACAGGTGGGTACTGGATAATGTCCTAGCCTCAGGTAATGCCTCATATATAAGGACTATGCATTGGTTCTCAACCCTGGCTGTAGATTAGAATTACTTAGGGGACACGTGAAACAACAATGCTAGACCCAAATTAAGGCTATTAGATCAGAACCTCTGGGAGTGGGGAACAGACACTGGTACCTTTCAAAAGCATCCCAAGCAATTCTCATGTACATTTAGGGTTGACAATCAGTGGATTAGAGTAAAATTAGGTGAGGCCCATGGAATTATGGGAAATCTCTAGCAAACAATCAGCCAAGTCAGTTGATATAAATTCTTAGTTATCAGATTGTATTTATAAGTAAGTTTTTACTCCTTAAAAAGGAATCTGCTATAGTAACACAAAATCATAGATCTGAAGGTTTTAAGGCATAGTGCAGTTATCCCGTATGGCTTTAAAACAGCGGTAATGTTTTCAAAATTGGAACAAGATAATGTGAGCTATTGAGAGAGGGACTTTGGGGAAGAAAAAGCCCATTTTTTAAAAGCTTGTACACTCATTTGGTTCATATTTCAAAACCCACAAAAGGGTAAAGAGTGCAAATCTCACTGTCCCCCATTCCCAGCTGTTCAATTTCTCTGACTTGGAAGCAATCTTATGTGTATAATGGTTCGTTATTGTATAAGCAATGCCCCCTCCTTTATTTTCATACAGATGGCATTGTAGAAATGATATGTGCCCTATTCTGCATTTTACCTTTCTTTCACTAAATATTATATCCTGGAGAACTGCTTATGTTTTAATAAGTCTCAAGTTTAGATGTTGCATGCCTAAACTTTCATCTCTTGGTAAAGGCACAAGGCATGTAGTAGGAATTCAACACATGCTATTGCCAGTTTCATCACGCTTCCAAAATAAACAAGCCAACACTGCTGCACCTGTCTGCTGAAATTAAATTCAGGACTCTTCTAAAAGGGATGTCGCTGTCTTCGCCTTAGAACCGCAGTGCAAACATGCCTTTGGTGATATTCTCAGAAGCGGCGTTCAAAAAGATACCAGGTGTGTTTCTAATCCAGCCACAAAAGGAGGCAAAGACTACAGTTGACTTAAAAATGTGTATGTCAAAGTCTGAGAAACTGCACGTAGCCCTGACACCAAGCCTTGGGTAAACCGAAATCATAGGATTAATAAAACAAATATTATTTTGCTCAAAGATCTAGGTCTAGTGTTTAAGCTCATCTTCGTTTTGTTAAGTTGCTGTCTTTCACACTTTCCTGTGCTGAAACTTAACCTCAGTAGGGATTATGGGAAAAGTTGAGATATTACCTGGTTTTCTAGCTCAGGGTCTATCATTTATGGTTCCTTAAAACTAACACAATGAATCATAAGTGGTAGAAATTTGTACGTGCAACTTAATCTTAAGGTATTTATCTGCTTGGATTCTATGCTTCGTACCATCACTAACCTCATTATAAATATTAGCAGTTAGTGTTTTATAAATCTCTGATATTAAAAATTCACGATTATAATAGCTGAAAGCTTAGAATCTCTGCTTCGCCGTTGTAGGGATCGCTTTCTGCTTTCGTGTTCTGGGTGGCAATAAACACTTTACCCCTTAGTTTGGGGGAAGGAAATAAAAGCAAAGGGTAAATTACATCAATGGATTTGAGTTTTGAAGAGTTTTTAAGTTATTGTTACCTTTTAGCTGCATTACTGTTTTTGGTGTATATGTTGTTTGTTAAAAATCTCCATATTCTTAGGATCTTCCTACTTTTCAATTGTTTGGGCTGTTGCTTCTCACTGAATATACAAGTTCTGGAATCAGGGTCCTTTTCTCTAGGTAACTTAGAGTGGTTAGCATGTTATTGATTAAATTTACAAAGTACTATAAAGGGATTATATTGCCTGTGTGTGCATGCACGTGTGTGTATTTACACAAGCTTGTGTATGTGCAGGAGGCCAGGGGAGAATAGTTTTCCATAAAACCACTAAGCTATTGAGTCACTTAATTCTAAAATAGTAAAACATAGCATTGAATGATCCTGTGAGAATAGAAAATAAAATGGAAAAATCTGAACCTTTCTGAGCTCAGCTAACTTACAAAGGAATATGATGAGGTTTTATACATCACTTCCTTTAGTATTTTAACAGTAATGCTACGTTATCATGATTTTTATTCTCAATAAATAGAATACTGATGGAAATTTATTTGGTGCAGGTCAGAATTGCAGCAGCAATTATGTTATTTATAAAAATATGGTACAGTTTTTAACTAATATTTCTAATGTTTAAGCTGTCATTATCATTAGACATAATTAATTGAAGGCATTGTAAAATATGTGAAAGTCATTATGGTATAGTATTTTGTTATGACACTAATATCACCCTTTTGTGGGTATATTGTCTTTGTCCCATGACACTGGAATTGTAATGAAATTCAACTTCAATTGGCTGTAAAATATCTTTCTTCAGTAGAGGTCAAACTACTGTAAAATATTATCTCAATGCTTTTAACGAGGAAATATTGGAAAAGTGATTTATTCTTATTTAATGGGCAAGAAAATGGCAACATTGATAGGGAAAGTCAATTGCACATGATCAGTTAATAAATACTTTTTATGTGGATGAGATCAGATTTCCAAAGTCACAATCTAGTACACCAGGGACTGATCAGTGCTTAAGACAGATCGAAAAAGTAAAAGTCAAATGTTTACCTCTCTTGCTTCAAAAGAATAACTTTGCTGATTCATTTTAGACTGATGTGCTCAAGGCTTCAAAATGTGTGAGTCAAGGTATGTACATGAGTTGCCAAATTGTATCTGGCCGCTTTCCATACTGTATCAACCTCATGACCTGTATGAGGTGGTAATGGAATAAACTGAAATCAAAAGTTTGGGATAGTTGTGATAATAAAAGTGAATTTCTAGTTACAATAAATACTGTCTTTGGTATTAAAAGAGCAAGAGAAAAAGCAACAGAATATAAGAAAGGGGTTATATTTTTCAAAAAGAAAATAAAATTACATTTAAAGAATATTAAGGGTAACCATTAAAAAGAGGAAAGTACAAACTAAGTAACGCCCTATCAAAGATCCAGTCAGAAGTAGATACTGAATCTAAGTTACTAGACAGCTATGATTGGCCTCTTATTATCCTCCACTCATTTATTCTGTGTTTGAGGAGAGCACTAAGTGTGCTACTAGCAACTTCTTTCCTCTTTTTACCTCATCAGTGTTTCCCAAGTGTGTTCTCTAGAATATAAGATCTATGAGATGTTCATATAGGGGATGTGGGCAGAGAAGTTTAGGAAATATTACATATGGTAACTCTCTTTAGGGAATTCCTGATGTTCTTTAACATCGAATTTTCCAAGAAATGGTCCAAAATAAGAAACCTGCTTTCCTTTTTTTTATCCCAACCCCTTCTAAAAGGATTTGATTGTGAAATATTACATATAGTAATTCCTCTTTTGGGAATTCTTGATTTTCTTTAACACTTTTAAATCTTCAAGTAATGGTCCAAAGTAAGAAACCTGTTTTCTTTTTCTTACCCAACCCCTCCCAAAATGATTTGATTGTGAAATATATATTACATACCTATCATACGTATTTTTTCATGTAACATATATTAACATTCCAGGCACCTTGCCTTAGAATCAAAGGAAAAAGTAGCAGTGATGAGAATGGATTGAGGAATGAGGGGATATGGCTGGGCCAACATAGATTTTATGTAACAGAAGTTTTGCAGAATCACTGATTTACGCTATGCTCATTTTCCACTTTGTGGAAACATCACTAATAAAAATGCTTTGTGTCCCTTTGATTACGTATTGTATAAAAATTGTTAGATTTTTATTCACAGAGTTTTCACTGCACATGTGAAATGTCATTTTGAAGCTATGGAAAGCCATACATCTGGAGATACCTTACTGAATTTTTAAGTCATAGAAGTTGCTTTCCTTGGAGTGAGGCATTTAATTGTAAAGGTTATTATGCAGAAATTACTGTGATTCCATATTTTTCTCTGTTCTCAAAAATTTAGAGAATTGTTATTGTCACTTTTAGAAGTGATTATGAAAAAAAAAAGCGTCAAAGTTAGAAATTCGTAGCAATCATATTTCTCCTTTAGTCCTACCACACAAAACAATGTCTTGAATTTCTTGGAAAACAGAAGGCTGTTTTATGTTATTAATTTGAATGTGATATATACACCCTATCCTTTATCGTTCAAAACTTGAGAAAGGAAAACAGTGCAATTTGAAAAGCTTTTAGGATGATGTAAGGGAGCAAATGGCCCCTCTGAAGCCTGGGCGTGCGTTTGTTTTTTTATGTATTTATTGTAGAGTATGGGGACATTTTAAAACTCAGATCTGTCGAGAACCCCATTTTATTAACATTGCTGTGTTAAGTGTATAAGCATTGAACTGTCAGTGAAGTAGGAGACATTTTACCCGGTGACATTTTAAATGAATCTCATCGCAGGGAAAGCCTGTGGGAACACCAGATGCTGGCGCTTATTTCCGTGTGCTCGCGGAGCATGGAGTAGCTGCCTTGTTTACAGCGCCGACTGCAATTAGAGCCATCCGTCAACAGGACCCTGGGGCAGCCTTGGGGAAGCGGTACTCTCTGACAAGGTGAACTTGGGATGCGCGGGGCAAATTACATTAAAAACTGCCATCAGAATGAATAACTGAACATTATACATTTTTTTGGCACTGCGATACCGCGATGGAAAGAGCCAAAAGATTCTGCATGTTATTAAGAATGACTGTTCTAAACATAGCTTTGAATTAGTTAGAATTTTAACTATACCCGGGAATATTTTTAATACCGTATTGTGTTTATTTCAGTTCAGATCTTACCAAAATATTTCTCTTTTTTTAAACTGTTTTTCTTGTATTTCCCTTAAAGTAAAATGCATTGGTACATGTATAATAGCATCTAACGATCCTTTGAAAATAGAATAATAGTGTAAATAGAGGGAAAATATTATTCGATTTCATATGTACAGATAAAACGCGAAAATTATAGTCCAAATTACTGTTGTTGAAAGAGTGAAGGAAATTATTTTTCTGTTGTTTTATAATAGTATGCTCTGAATAGTTTAAATATTTTTTGTTGGTTTATTGACATCCATTTTAGTTTAATGATATGTATATTTGAAGATAATTATAGCAATTTGTATCTGCAAGGCAGTTTCCAACATCAATTCTTTTTTTTTTATTTTTTTTTTATTTTTTTAATTTTTTTATTTTTCAACGTTTTTATTTATTTTTGGGACAGAGAGAGACAGAGCACGAGCGGGGGAGGGGCAGAGAGAGAGGGAGACACAGAATCGGAAACAGGCTCCAGGCTCTGAGCCATCAGCCCAGAGCCCGACGCGGGGCTCGAAATCACGGACCGCGAGATCGTGACCTGGCTGAAGTCGGACGCTTAACCGACTGCGCCACCCAGGCGCCCCAACCAACATCAATTCTTATTGAACCTCTTTGAAATTGGTCACTGCTATCATAAACTAAAAGAAGGATTTTGTAATTTCTTCAAGCCAGAAAAAACGGGTTTGAATTATTGTTTCGAAATTTTTAAGTTAAGCACCAAATGTTATGAATTGTATGTTGTTATAACCCAAAGAAGGAGTTAAAATAGGTATCATACGCTGCAGGTGTAAGGAAGAAGCTCTCAGTGTGGGCAGTCAGTGACTTTGTTTTTCATTCTTGTCCTATTTTTTTTTTTTTTTTATGAAAACTCAGGTCTGGATTTACATAAAATTGCACCTGTAACCTAAACAATATACTCATTAAAATAAAAGTGTTCATAAAATGAACCTTCCATTGTAATATTTCCACTCACCCTCTATTTGTTCCTTCATTTACTACATTTCAATTTTGTTTCCTCCATTGCAGCCAAAAGGATAGAAAAGTAGATTTTGGTATTAATGTCATAGGCTGTGTATAGTCTCTATGTCTTAGACAGTTTCAGGGAGTTTTGAAGAAACAGTGATTGTGGTATCTTGCACTGTGTCTTTACTAACAAATGCATTCTGATTGCAGGGGGGGAAGTTGTGTATCCTGGAAGCTAAGGTCTCTCATTTGCTAAACCATCTTCTTTTCGCATTTGTACATGAGTTTTGAAGGTTATCCATTACTGTGAAGGCGGGAACCTTTTCCAATTTTCCTGATATATACAATATTGAACAGCACCAAATGCCTTTTTTCAAACTAATACTAATATGGCATATGATATCTTAGTGTAAGGAAAATTGCAATAAGTCCCCCCTGATGATGCCCTTCTGTCTTCAGGCACCTATGCTATTCAGGATGGTATGCACGTAGGTTTTAATAGATGCTTAATGATGCAGACTGTGAAAACACCCTCAATTATTCAAATTACTATTAATAAATTCAAACATTTACTGATTACCAACTACGTGCCAGGTATAAGCAATTTAAGTTTCTCTCATTCAGTCACCACAATAAGGAAGAATTGTAATTATCCTCATTTTACGAATGAGTAATATTAGGACCAGAAAGTTTAAGAAACCTTTAGAAAGAAATTAACTCAGGCAATCTGACAAGGGCCCACATTCTTTTTTTTTTTAATGTTTACTTTTGAGAGCAAGAGAGAGAATGAGCAGGGGAGGGGCAGAGAGAGAGAGGGAGACACAAAATCTGAAGCAGGCTCCAGGCTCTGAGCTGTCAGCACAGAGCCCGACATGGGGCTCGAACCCACAAACTGTGAGATCACGTTCTGAGCTGAAGTCGGACGCCTCACCGACGGAGCCACCCAGGTCCCCCGAGTCAATTCAGATAATACCTTCACTGAACTTTAATGGATCCTCCCTTGTGAACTAAGGAACTGTTAGAAACAGAAGGGACGTCAAAAATCTAACTCTCTGATTTTAAAAACAAGGAAACCGAAGTCCAAAAAAGTTAAGTTTGGGTTAGAGACAGAATAAAGACCAGGACTCAAGTCTTTTCACACAACTGTATCTTTAATTTTTTTATTTATGTTTAAGACTTTTCATACTTATTTACTGCACTGACGCTTACTAGGTCAGTATTATTATGACTGCAGGCTCGTGATATATCTGCAGAACTTAGCCTCTCTCTTCTCTTACAGGACATTCCAAATGATGCAATTGTATTTTTAAAATGTATCACAAATCACATTAAATATTGTTTTAAAGTAAATTTGGGGGAGGGGACTAGGTGGCTCAGTTGGTTAAGCTTCTGACTTTGGCTCAGGTCATTGTCTCTAGTTTTGTGAGTTTGAGCCCCACACTGGGCTGTTTGTGGTCAGCACAGAGCCTACTTTGGATCCTCTGTCCCCCTGTCTCTGCCCCTCCCCTGCTCACACACTCTCTCTCTCAAAAATAAATGAACTTTTTTTTTTTTTTAAACAAGTAAATTTGGAGGGGTGCCTGGGTGGCTGGGGTTGGTTGAGTGTCTGATTGATATTAGCTCAGGTCATGATCTAACAGTTTGTGGCCTCAAGCCCCACATCAGCCTCAGTGGAGCCTGCTTGGGATTCTCTCTCTGTCTCTCTCTTTCTCTTTCTATCTTGCTTGCTCACCTTCTCCCTCTCTAAATAAATAAATAAATATTTAAAAAATCAACACATAAAATAAATGTGGAGATCTGCCAGAAATTTTCACTCCCAAAGCAAATTTCAAAAGATGCTCTGAAACAGGGTAGTAAGCAGAACTATAAATTCATTTTATCATAGACGAGTAGAAGTTAGAAAAACAGATTAGAAGTCATCTAGGATAGTTACCTCATTTCACAATTGAGAAAACTTTGTCACAAAGAGGTGAAGGTGAAATAATGTTCCCAGAATTGCAAAGCTCCCTGCAGCAAAGCTGTGACTAGGCAGTGCAGTGTCATATAGTTAAGATTCTTACTCTGGAGTTAGACTCACTGAGCTTAAGTCTGCCATGTACTGGTTGTATGACCTCAACAATGTTACATAGCGTCTCTGTTCTTTTTGTTGTTGATTTGTTTTCTTTTTGCCCTCCTTCCCTTCTCTCCTCCTCTCTTCTCCCTCCCTTCTCCCCCCGCTCCTCCTTCCAGAATATAAATATAGTAATAGCACAAGAATATAATAAAATAAAAGCTATATGATCCATGCAAAGCACTTGGAACAGTTCTTAACGTAGACTGTCATAGCTATTATTATTGTCTGCTTTCTAATTTACTGCTCTTTTTCATCATGTCATGTTGATTTATTTCCCCACGTTCTTCTCCTAGTTCAATCTTAATAAAGTTAGAAAAAATTCAGTTCTGGTACTTCCATTCAAGGTATCACAGTACCTCATGCTCCGATGCAGCCCTTTTTTCCCCCAATTGCACTCTAATGAGAGATAATACAAAAAAGAAAAAGCAGAGCATCAGAGATGAGCTCAAAATTAAAGTAAACATATCTGCGGATCAGAAATGGAACAGATTTGCAAAGTAGTAAGCATGGCTGAAGCCAGAGGCTTGCTAGGTGTAAGAGCAGGCATTGACAGCATAGTAGAAACTCGGTATTCTGCAGCTTTGATTGTGGAGTCAGAGCCAGCTCAGTGCTTGAACTTGCGGTGCAGTGTTACACTTCACTCATGAAAGGAGATTGATAATGATGTTAGAGGTTGTTTTCTGGGACTAGGACTTATAGCGAGCTTTGGTACAGAGGTCTGAATGAAACAGAGAACACCCCAGCAGCTGTAGACTGAACTAAACTGCCCACTTGCTGTCCTAGAATTGGATCTATGATATCCTGAGTATCACTGTGTATTAAGAATTCTGGACCATCATTGTGGCATCGGATCGTTGGGGGATAGCTACATCACCCACAAACTTATTGAACAGAGAAGGCGAACATAGGAGAGGGAGCAAGAGATAAAAATAACAACAAAGAATCTCTTTTTCTTCTACTTAAGATACGAGTATAGAAGCAGAGATCAACAAACAAGACTAATAAAATTGAACAACGGATCACATTGCTATGGAAACCTGATTTATAGAGGACGTGGTTTAACAAACGAGTGGAAGAAGGATAGACCCTTAGATAAACTGGTGCTGGAACAGCTGGCTGTATATGTAGGAAAAAATGAGTTCCCTACCATATACGATACACAAAAATACATCTCAGCTGGATTCAAGGCTCTAAAATTGTAAAGCAAAGACTTAATACTTTCAGAAGAAAATGAAAAAATCTTTTAATATATTTTTAGTATGGAATGACCTTTTAAAGTGTAAACCACAAATCATTAAGGAAAATATTGATGAAATTTACTACATTAAAATGAAAAATCGCCCACTAAAAGAATAAACAAAGTTAAATGATGAATGATTCACTCAGAGAAGATATTTGCAGCATGTATAACCATTAAGCAATTAGTGTAGAGGATATAAAGAGCTTCTACAAATCAATAAGAAAACACACCATCCAATAGACGAATGGGCAAAGGATATGGACAGTCAGTTCATGGAGAAGACAAGAGTAGTCCAAAACATTAAAAGATCTTTAATCTCACTAAGAAACAGAGAAATGGCATTTTATTCCCATCACATAGACAAAAGTTAAAATACCTAACTGATACTTGCTTGCAAGGATATAAAGCAGCAGAACTGTTTTTATACTACTATGGAGAGAA